AGCAGGGGAGGGTGACCGGTCGTAGCGAGGTCTGCTCAGAGGTGCTGCAGGGGCGGAAAATGTGGTCGGCGTTTATGGAGAAAGTGATGGGGAGGACTGGCGAACAGAAGTGACGTGATACTGAGGTGCATAATGAGACGGTGGAGCCCAGCGGCTGCGGCAGTGACGAGCGATATAACCAACGCGTCGACAGTTAAAACATATGGGCCTGTCATCAAGAGTACGTCATTCGGATGGATTGCGTTGTATGCGAGGAGCAGAAGGGGGACGATAAGAAAGCTCAGCAGAGTATATGGCAGGACAGAATGTAGGCCGACATTCGATAGCTCTTGACGAACGACCGCTTGTATCAAAGAGATCGTGGTCGGGGAAGGCGCAGGCATCGGTAATGGCGTGGCTACCGGTTGTGCTGCCTCGACCTCTCGATAAATGATGCGTGTAAGGTTGTCACATTGAGGGGTCTGGTTGAAGGCATCGTCACACGACGAAGTGGCAGCTGTGTTCGGAAGGCGCATGATGCTTTGGGTAACGCGGCGGGCTTTAGCTTGTTCGAGACGTCGGCATTTTTTAAGGATGGTGTTGATGCTCGAGACATTAAAAACCAGCAGGTTGACAGCATCGTCAGCAATGCCTTTCAAGACGTGGTTAACCTTTTTGTCTTCTGACATGCACTGGGCGGCCTTGGAACAAAGGGCCAAGACGTCAAGAATGTAGGAGACGTAGGATTCGGTAGAAGACTGGGCTCGCGTGGCAAGCGTCTTCTTCGCAGCGAGCTGACGACCAGATAAATCGCCAAACAGGTCGCGTATCTTTTCTTTGAAGAGATCCCAGCTCGCTATGTCGGCTTCGTGGCTTTCAAACCATGTTGGGGAAGTAGAAAAGCACGTTGGCGAGCATGAGCGTGGGATCCTAGCGGTGAGTAGCACTGACGCACTCGTACCAGTTCAGCCAAGTGTCAAGATCGTTCGTACCATCACTGGAGAAAGTGCCGGGAACCCGGAGGTGCGGGAGTGTGACGTAGGTGGTGGCTTGGACTGATGAGGGCGGCGTAGAGGAATTACCAGCAGTCGAAGCAGTCGAAAGGTCGCTGATGGTGCCACCAATAATGTTACGAGTAACTTGTTTAATGATCTATTTACAGCGCACAGAACTCAACGAGCAAGATGGCGCCAGTCCAGCATCAAACGAAAACTCACTTCGTCCTCCTCTTTCATGCAGCTGTATTTAGCGGCTGTGACGTATCAATATTTTTACCCCCCAATTTTTTTTGCACCAAACATTACACCTACGTTTGTATAATGCATTGGTTATTGTCCTGTAAAATTAGCTAAGCAGTAAAGAAATGAATAGGTAAAAAATGAATAGGAAAGTAACAACATTACAGCAAAGAGAATTCACTGGGGAATACAATGCGACAGACCTCATGAAAATCCATAAAGCCAATGCCGTGCTATGCTCTGCGCAAGTGGGTTTGTCGGGTGAAAACACACTTCTGAGAAAACTGGCACTAAGGTTCACAGCCACTACACGTAAATCGAAATCTTCTGGGGCTGTAATATTTAGGTCTTTGCTTTCAGAGACCTTCTTGTGCTCTTGCTCTCTCATTCTTTCTGTTTTTTTTTTTTCTTTTTTTGCTGCTCATTTTCATCAGCTTTTTGAAGGGTGAGCCTACCAGGTTTGGTGACCGCCTTCACAATACAAGTCTGTAAGCACTCAAGATGAGGAGTCCTGTGGCAGTTATGCCCAAGATTTTGGTGACACAAGAACTTCTGAGAAATTTACTTGACGCAAGTTTGGCAGATGAATACTCGTCCCCTCTTCCAAACAAGTTCATTTCTCAACTTCACCCTAATATGCTTCATTCTTCACCTGGTTGCAAAACGTACCGTATTTACTCGCATAACGGTCGCACTCTCATAATGATAGCACCCCTAAATTTCATCGTCTAAATTCGACTTTTTTTCCCCTCGCGTGAAGATCGCACTACGAACTTGCCGCATCGACATGTCATGTGCCAAGTCTAGCTGAACGCGCCTATAATTGTTTCTGTGATCTTAAAGCGGGCATCGCTATGCTAATGCCATAGATTTACCGATTTAAATGAAAGCATTCCTTATTTAGATGAAAGAAACTGTTTTGACGTGCGTGACGTACTTACAACCTCCATAACTGGCGCAAAGAAGAAAAAAAAATGCAGTGGCTTCGCTCCACGGAGTGCTTCGCTCCGTCAGCCGCCATGTCTGTTTTAACATCTCGCACTGTTACAGCGTCGGCCGCCTGTTGGTCGACCTGTGTTCATCTCGCAGCAATGTTTTTTTTTTTTTTCGTGAGACCATGTTTTTTTGTGTGTGTGCTTTGTGATCGTCTGTTGAAGTGCCGTTTCACCGTGGGGTGGTATGCGAGCTTTACTGCCACGTTCAAGCTGAAGGCGCTTGATTAGGCGCTAGAGCACGGCAACCGCGCTGCCAGCAGACACTTCGGCGTCGACGAAATCCGGATCCGATATTGGTAAAAACAGCGCGACATGCTCATGGCTACTAACAGCACATGACGGGCTTTCCGCGGACCCAAATCTGGCAAGTTCCCTGACATTGAAAAGGCAGTCCTCGAATACGTGAAGGACATGCGCAAGAACGGTTGTGCAGTGCCGTTAGACATGATACGGACGCAGGCGTGCACAGTTTCCAGGAGGCTGGGAATAGCCATAAAAAACTTCCGCGCCAGTTCCGGCTGGACGACGCGCTTCATGCGGCGGAATGGACTGTCGCTGGCATTTCCAACGCGCTTGACGGAACAGAAGATGACCCTCTGTGGGACAGTGGAGACACTGCCAGTTCCGACAGGGAATCGTGCGGCGACAACACTGACGGCAGTGATGCTTCGGAGTCTGAATGAACGTTAGGGGGTCATAAAATAAAAAGTAAAAAAATAAAAGGGCAGTGTGCCATGCATGTATCTCCTGCGTAATGCGTGCATTTTATTACAAAGGTAAGCCTTGATTTACTTTTATTTTGGTTAATGTTCATGATAGCTACCGTAAGAATACTGATTAGTGACTTTTTTGCGTTTTTGGTGCTCAGAATATTTTTTCACGGAAAATTTACCCCCCGTAATGATCGCATCCCAAAGTTGGAGTCACTTTTCTGGAAAAAAAAAGTGCGATCATTATGAGAGTATATACAGTAGTTGGAGAGGCTTTCATTATTTTAGTACATTTATAAAACGCTGCGATACCAAGCATGGCTTGAAATGCGCTATAATCATATCACCACCGAGTGTTTAAATTTCCCGCCAAGCGCTCGGCCTCGGGGTCTGTGAAGTCGGTATCCAATATGCTGGGTGGCAGCATTCGGCGGCAATGCGCTGCTCCGAGTGTGGCCAGCATTCGGCGAATTGCTTTGCTGCGCTGCTTCGAACGATCGCTGCGCGACGAGTGTGGCCATAGTTATTTGCTTCGCGGCTGTGGGGTCCGCTGCCAACACGTAAAACGCAGATTTGCGATTTCGAGGTGCCATCGTATGTCGTTCAGTGTGACTTGTTGCTTGCGATGACGCACATTACGGCTTGTTCACTTTTGAATGCCCACAAGCAAGATGCTCTTGTTCGCAAAGCTAGGATTCACCTTTAACAATAGCACCGTGAGCAGAGTTAGGCCAGTTAGGCCTAACCCCGACTCCGAGCTGTTAGCTCAATCGCAGTGAGCACGGCTTCAGTGCCTCTTTCAAGGTACGCTATGTTAGACGGCTAGTACAGTGGATGGTCCCATTGCCCGTAGTGGTCTTCGTCCCGAACTCAGGTATGCCAGCAGGCAGAACGTCTAACAGCAAGTTCAACGAGTAAACTCTACAGATCCAAGGCGTGCTTCGTGATGTTCATGAAGGGCGCGTCAACCTACTGCAGACCGCTGACTAAGTTTTCTGGAGCATCTGCTAAAGCCTAATTATCATCGAACCGCGAAGACTGAACGAGTCCGAATGTGACTAAATAGTCTGACCTGGCGTTGCGGAAGCTGCAGACGGACATACACACGAAGAGGTCATCGGACCAATGGAGTAGAGTGCCAGAGCATCGTGGCAGCCCCAGCCAATCGGGGGCCTCGAAGTGACCTTCAGACATTTGCTTTTTGAGCACTTCTTTTTGAAGGGAGGAGCCAGCTGAGGTCGGAAATTCGAACGCGGAGAAATTCTCTTTTTGACACGCCCAATCGCTATACCTGGTTCCACAGTCACAGAGCAATAAATTTTCGAAAAATGCTTAGTCTTTTTTTTTTCTGCACTAACTTTCACTATCTCTGCAGACACAATAATTTTTAAGAGCACCTCTGCATGGTTTTCAGAGAAGGTACTTCGAAATCAGGTAGAAAAAGGGCTATACAAACTGAAAATGAGATTTCCAAAAAATACATTTTTTCCGCCCTTAGTTGTAATTTCATTCCAGTGTCCCCCCTTAGGGCAATAGCTTGCTGTGCCACTGTACTTATTCCTTTGTTGGCAGTGATGGGACAAGTCAGGAGAATCGAATTTTTACTAGGTAATATACTATGTTTAGAGAGTAGTTATGGCACGTTCCCTGCAGGTATATGTTAACAAGCCTTCCCTGTATGTTCATTACGAGTAAATCAATGAGGGCTCTTATAGAAGAAGAAACCAAAGAAGACTGGAGAGGTGTCGACCTAGAACTCAACTTTATAATTCCAGGTAGGCTTGTAGTTTGATTTAATGTCGAACTTTAAAAAAAAAAGGACATTTTTCACATGCTTCATTTCAATTTTAAATAATACTGTGCAGGTAGATTAGGCATAGACAAATGCACTAATTTTCCTTAACAGATATATTTCAACTATTCAAACTATTTGATTAAAGGTTATTCAACCAAATGGCTGTTCACTTCGAACCTGAAATCACTATTGGCACATACCTACTGATTTCCATTTGTCTTTCCACCAAACGGATTGACAGGGAGAAGCGAGGACAGCACAGAACAGTGCTCAGAGTGCTTACCAGGAAAATGCTTGTTGACCACCTTCAGAGGCGACCGTGTACACATTGCTGTTGAGTGAGGCATCGCTTTCGTGCTGGAACCAGAACACCGTGTCCTTGACCACCTTGTCGTTCCACTCTAGGGACACAGTAATCCTGAAAGTAAAAATAAACAACCAAGCTCAAAAGATGTAGTCGTGGTTCTAAACACAATGTGAACAATGGTCAATGTTACTTGTGCAAGCTTTACAAACAAAAACTCAAGACAGCAATGATGGACGTACAAAACCCACTTAAAACACATCAGCACAACATGTTTCTAGCACTGATATGTTTTGGTCTTTCGTCCCTGTCTTCAGTTCCTTTTTGTAAAGTTTATGTCAGATACGTTGACCAACTAGTAGCCTATGTTCAAGTTTTTCTTACGTAAAGCATATAGAATGCCACCACCAGCTTCCAATATTGTCAGAAATCTTGTAATGTTTCACTTAAAAAAACAGCGCCAATAACGAGGGACAAGAGAAAGAAGGAGACAGACAGCGGCACTGACTTCTTCTTTCTATTGTCCCTCGTTATTGGCGCTGTTTTTTTAAGTGAATCATGTCGTACCAACTCGCCCAAGCAACCACGTTAGCTCTTGTAATGTACAAATCATGCACTAGAGGAAAAAAAATCTAAGCCATAAACAGCAGATCAATTTTCCATATAAAAAAAAAGGGCTTCAGGGACTAAAAAGGGACACAGGATCAAAACAGGTCCAGTCATTTTCGTGCTACCTTTTCAACAAGTGACGCTGAAGAGGCTTCTGAGACAATAGGTCCCAAATTTTTTGCAGCAGTTCACCTCCAAAATGCACCAGCACTGTAAGCTTTGATGTTCTTTACAAACAGGCAACCTTTTGCACATTTTGATTTGGCAAGGCTTGGGAAAGTTTATTAGCCTCTTCCTGCTTACTCCGAATGCTTTTGTGCGGCCCCATGGAGAGAAACTGTTCCAGGCTGCATGTCGACACAGGACACGCTGAACCGTATTGGTACTTTTGGGGCTGTGAAACATGTGACAAAGCAACCTAAATAGTGAGGTATTGGTTCGGTTAGAGGACGACTACCATACCAAGAACTTCAGCGACAAACACCGAGTCTACTTTGTTACCAAGCCGACGTTACTGAACAGTAACACTATTTTATCAGAGCAGCAACAGAGACGCTATAGTGCCTAGCTGACTAACGTCCGCAGGTGTTTAGAATAACCTGGATGGAGGGTGAGGTTATTACGGAGAGTTAAGTGAGAGTAGGGCCAGCACTGCCTCCCGTACCTCTCAATCCAATCCACTTGCAAGCGTTCCCCAGATAACTACGGTATAAAGCTGACAGATTGAGAATTATAGAGAAGAGTAGCTATCCGTCTTACTGCAAGGGCATGGTGTCGTACTCCTTGCCATCCCAGAAGTGCTTGAAGCCACAGCTGCAGTACTTGGAATTTGAAGGCGTGCGGGTGCGATCGCCGTTCCGGAGCTCCAAGGTTCCATCGCCACGGAGGTGCCGGACTTGAGTGCTGAGGGAGTCAAACGACAAAGTCCCGCTGAGCATCCAAAATATAACCAACCCCAATCCGAACAACACTCCCTCCCCTCCCCTAAAGAACAGGGTATACTAAAGGTATATACACGCAAGCCTCATTATAACAAAGCTGCATCTTACACAAAAATAAGTTTATGTCCGAACATTCACTTAGAGTAAAATCTCATTAATTCGAACTTCCAGTTAATTCGAACTCACGATGAGGTCATCTCAAAGCTAGGTGTATTCCAATGGACAAAAACGCCCGGTAATTCGAATTCGCAAGCACTTGCGACGGCTAATGCAACCATACCGCGCTCCGAAAATGCTCTCAGCACCCCACCCAATCCTGCGGCAGCACCTCCGACGCCTCAACGCTGCTTGCGAAGAAAAGGAAAAGCAAAGAAAAGGCTGCGGTGAAATGTTTGCTCTCTCTCAAATGCGGATCTGCGACGCGCCTGTGCCACGCTTCTCCCTTTTCTGCCCCTGCCACGTAAAGACCCTTCTACTTGCAACGCCTCGCACAGAGAGAGAGAGAGAGAAAAAAAAGAAAGCTGTCGTGGAGAGTGGCTCTCTCTCACGTGCCGGTGCCATGTTTCCCCTTTCCAGTCCCTGCCACGTAACCCTTCTCCTTTCAATTGCACGCGCAAACGTGAAAAGAGCAAAAAAAAAAAAGGGGGGGGGGGGGGGGGCTGTCGTGGAGTGTTGGCTTTTTTTTCAAATGGTGATCTGCTTCTCTCCACGTCGAAACGCTCCTCCTTTCTCGTCACATGCTGGCAACGCTGCGGCTTTGGCACAGAGGGTAGTAGCGGAGATGCAGTCATTGCTGTCGTCGTGTTTAGAGAGTGTCGGCGCTGGACATTACCGCGTGCAACTGCTCTTGCCATGAGAATGCTGATGCCAAAGTAGACATGCTTTGCTAGCTGCGTGCGAAATTGATTGACTCGCAGCAAGGCAAGCGTGTGCAGACACGCATCACCGATTACTTCAATTAATGACGGATGTCTTACATTTTGTCAATAAATGCAAGTCTTCTGAAGCTTACCCCTCGTGTGTTAGCTCAACCCACATGCGCCACTGCATGGGGAGCCCTCCAGTTTACTTAGCTTTCATTATTTTGGACTTCTTTTAAATCGAACAAATTTTTGGCACCCTTCGAGTTCGAATTATCGAGATTCGACTGTAAATGTTCATTCCTAGCAATATATTTTTTCCAAAACTAGTTTTTTAATTTACTGCGTCATCACCAAAATTTTGTTGTATCCGGGATCGTTATATCGAGGTGCGAGTGTATGCTGCTAACAAATGTGAAAAGGAGCTTATAATATGAGTGAAAATGCGACTTCTTAAGTTTGTATGGTTTTATACAGCAGTTAAAACATGCATGCCCAAGAACAGGATAAGTATGGTCAGGTGGTGGCTTTTAACTTCAACACAGCAAAACAATACAGTCAAACCTCAATATATCGAACACGGATATATCGAACCATTGCCTATATGGAACGGTTCCTATATCACACGGGAAATCGCATGCATTATTGATTTTTTATTTCGAACAAAGTTTGACATATAATGGATATATCGAACTCAGCCACCTCAAACCGCCCGCGCTCCATCGACAGGCGGCGAGCTTTCCCGCAACTCTCGAATGTAGCGGTAGAGCGGCGGGCGTTTACGAATGCTGCGCACATCGATGGCGCCGAGAGCGCCACTTTAACGTAGCGGCATACGTGCACTGCAGCATTGCGGTAGAGGTTCTTGAATGAGGAAAGTATAAAGAGAAAAGCGCGGAGCTGTTATTGTCTTTCAATACGAAGGCACCGACACGGCTTCGCGCGGGGGAAGGGGTAGTTGGAGGTAAAGATTGAAGAGGAAAGTATAGGAGGGAAAGGACGCAGACGACTGTCTCGGACGCCGCCCGCGCTGCCGCCGGGAAAGAAAAAGCAGTCAGGCGGGCCGGCATGGGCGCGCCATGTGCGCGCTTTACACCCCGACTCACGCCGCAGCCTTGCAGCTTGCAGTCGTTGCAGTCTCTATGGTGTCAAAGGCACACTGCGCACTTGTTGCAAGCTCCTCCCCCGTAGCATCGGCAGGCATCGGTAGTTGTGCTCGCAGTGTTCGTGCGTTCTGAGTTAGGCCTGTCGCGCTCTGTGGTGCGCGACAGGCCTAACTTCGAACGGCGGAGCTCACGGATGTGGAGATTGTCGCCGAAGCTACTGCTGAGCAGCCAAATGAAAACTCTGCCGAGGTGGATCCCGCAAGCGCTGATGGTGCTTCGCTCCCGACATCAGCTGAGGTCGTAGCTGCCTTGGCTCTTGTGCGCCGCCACTGCGGCGCGATTGAAGGCACCGGCCTATCACTTATGGATCGCCTGAACTATATTGAGGACGCAGTCGTCAAACACGCCACGGCCAACAAAAAGCAGGCTACTCTTTTTCAATATTTTAAACCAACACAATAAATACTATGTTTGAATCTTCAAGTGAGTATTTACTGCACCACACTTGAACGGTTCGTTGGTTGTTTTCAGCAAGCTGTTGGTGCATTTTTTTTTCGTGATTTTTTTATATTGAATTCTGGATACCGTATTCACTCGCATAATAGGCGCACTTTTTTTTCAGAAAATCCGGCTCGAAGTTAGAGGTGCGCCAATTACGCGGGGTAAAATTTTCGAAAATTTTTTCAACTCGGTTCTTGCGCTTTAAATCTGCACACTTGTCAAGTAAAAGGCGACTTCATCGTTTACCAATTAATTCAGCATGAAACAAACATACCTACGTACCTTTTAATGAACAACTGCACACACACACGTAAAATTTATTTACACAAAAGTCGTAGCTGTTCCTCCTTTTCCCTATTCCGAGTCCGAGTCGGAGATCACACATTCATCCTCGCCGAGCGGGGATTCGTTTTCGGTGTCCGAATCATCCGCACCCCACAACATGTCATCCTCACTCGCATCCAGTGCGTTCGAGATACCCGTCTTCTCGAAGCTTTTCCTGACGACTTCGTCGGAGATCGCCTGCCACGCTTCCACGATCCAAGTGCACAGCATTTCCACAGGCGGCCTCTTAATCTGGCGTTTTTTTCTTTTTCTCTGATGGTGGTGATGGCGATCGAGCCCCCGGCGTTGTACACGTGACCTCCAAAAAGCGCGGCGATTTGGGGGGTATCAGTAATTGGTGGAACAGCCGTTTTTTTTTTTCGCTCATGGACGCTTTTTTTTTTTTTTCAAGTTTTATTTCGACAAACACGTTGGTTAGGTCGTTGCACTTTGAATTTTTTTTATTTGCTCGTCGATTTGCCTTCTTTTCTTCTTCAGCGTACGGGGACCGCATTCCAACTATACCGCTGGGGGGTAGAATCGTTTCTGATCACGGCCAAGTTCGGGGTGCACCTATTATGCGCGGAATTAAAAAAAATCGAATTTTCCGGGACCAAACTAGGGGTGCGCCTATTATGCGAGTGCGCCGACTATGCGAGTAAATACGGTATATCAAACTATTTCGCGATCGCCGTGCCGTTCGATATATCGAGGTTCGACTGTAGTAAGGAATGATGACTATGCCCATTCAGACACCTCATCGACATCAGCAAGTACCAGGACAGTACAGTGCACCCAGCAAGCCAGGCAACCCACCTTTTGCACCAGGTGCAGTGTTCCAGCGTGTTCTTTGCTATCACGGGAACTAGTTCGTCCTTTTCCCGGTTGTACCAGCAAGTGACGCCTGCACAAGCATGCAGCATTGGCTCAGTAAGGTAAAATGTAGACCAGTCCCAAATGGTAACAGTCATCGCGCGAAATGATGCCTATCAGTTTAACAAAGGACTCTGTATTTGTTGCGTGCTGTTGAGTTGCCCCTTGGACATTGTTTCTTTCTTCGCCGGAAGATTCCCCAAATAGGTCCCAGCATAAAAAGGCAGCACCCGACGTGCACGCACCGTACTGCTCGAAGGTGTAGAGCTTCTCTGGCATCGGGTTCATGACGCTCTCTTGCAAGGTGGTGTAGAGGAGGCCTCCTGGCCGGAACCACTCGGGCGACACGTGGTGCTCGCAGACCGCGTTGCATGTCAGGCAGCGGTAGAGGCGCCGCTCGGCCAGGGCCTTCTGTGTTGCCCTCACTACCAGCGACGAGTGGACGCCCACCACACCTACAGAAGAAAAAAAAATGAGTGGGCGCAGCTCCAGAGGTACATTGGTAAACCGTGAAGCCTCCATAAATCTTGCCCAGTCAATCATGATGTAAAGACGTGACAACCACTTCGTGTGCATTTCACCGCCGCTTCGTCAGCTCTTGGCTAAGAATTGCCTTTCAGACGTCACCTGGAAGTGCATCCTTACTGTTTCAAGACACTTGATATTTTATAAACAAAAATAATGCCATATTATGCTCCTTTCTGCATCATAACGTCATAACACACTCATTTATATGTAACAGTAATTAATTTTAATTAAACCATAGTTAAGTACACATTTATCTTAATGTCACTGATGTTCTGTTTTTGTATGAAAGGGACCAAATGCCAGCCAAGAAATATAGTGCCAATTTGTTGTACATTCTGCTTATATCGAGCAAAAAAGAACTTTTGGTGAAATGATGTCAAGTGACTCATGGAAAATGATAGTGCCTTCATTGAAACTAGCCATGTGAAACAGTAGAGTGCAAAATGAAGACACATTTATTGTGCTAGAGGATCAAGTTCATTTAAATCTCAATGTATAACTATTTCTGAGCTACAATTTACCATAACTAGCAAGGACAAATGATGTACACAACTGCACACAGAGTGTTTCCAAGGCCAAAGGGACAAGAAGAGAGCCAAATGGGTCAGGGAACAAACGCTTGCTAATGACATCATAATCAAAGTGAAAAAAAAAAAAAAGAAACACAGGCATGAGCAGGGCATGTAGCGAAAAGGCAAGACAACCGTCGGTTATTAAGAGCAACAGACTGGACTACAAGAGAAGAAAGATGCATGAGGTGAGGCAGAAAGTTATATGGGCCGATGTTATTCAAGTGTGGGAATAATAAAGCCACACCAAGCACAGAACTGAATTTATTGGTCAGGTTGATGAAACATGGGAGACGCCTTTGACTTGCGGTGGGCCTAGTCAGGTTGACGATGACGACAGTGTCTTTACACCAAACCTGTAAGTTCAATCAACCCTGCTTTTTTATATGCACTAATGCCATTAGTCCAGGCTGACAGTTCTTCAATACACGAAATCACAAGCATACTGCACTATGGTGGCAATGTAGCGCAAAGATTATAGGATGTTTTTCATTGTAGTATACGGCCCTCGATTACGAAGCTTGGAGCAGGTTAGCCAATAACGAAGACCAGGCCGGAGTAGAGTTTCTAAAAAACAAAGCAGTGCCAACTAAGTTTCTTCACCTCTGCTCCTCTCCAAGCAGCTGTAGCGAGAGAACAGCTTCTGTTTGTTGTACCTGTTTTTGCTACCACTGAAACAGCAGGTTGGCATTCTAACAGGCTCAAGTGCAGTCGACCACACACTTTACATCAACCGAGTAGACCTCCCCACAAGCGGACAAACAAGATGCCGCCTGATTGATTTTCTAGAAAAGCTACTTCGTCACGCTTTATAACTGATGATTTCTAAGCGCTGCAGAGTTCGCAGTGGCGCTAGTGTCATGAGCAAGCCCTCTTGTGTGGTCACTGATTACGTACCACAAATTTATTGCACTTTCAAACACCACGAACATATACCACTTGCTTCTGCATACCTAAAGTCGGATTTCTTAGCTTTCTTCTCGCATTCTTTATTTCGCAGGCTTTTCAGACAGCACCGCTTAGAACCACAGTGCCCTTGTGCCAGGCCAATAGCCCTGTTTCGCAAGCTTCACATCTCAACTTCATTTACGATCTCCCAAGCACACAAGGAGGTGTTTGTACATGGACATGAAAGGCACTACTTTAGTTTTCTTCAGGAACTTTAGGTAGGAGCCCTCCCTTACCCGTCCGTTTGTAGACGTAGTGATGAACATCAGCGACGAGGGTTGGGTGCACACCATACTTTTGCTGAAACACTTCGTCCATGGCCGCAGTCAGCCGCATCAGGTAGCCCTCAGACAGCTGGTGGTCGCCGCCAACAACGCAGCAACCTTTGGCATCAAAGTCGATGTACGAGTCGACCAGACAGTGCGGCACCCCCCATGCCTTGGGCAGCAGTGACCGTGGGATCTGTGGAAGCTTGTCGCCTGAACAGTCAGGAAGTTGAAATTCAATTGCAATGCTCAATTATTGGCTAACTGAAACAGATTCACGGCAGCTGAATTTAGTACGAGTAGTTGTGAAGCACAGCGTCTCCTTAAAGTCGCCGTGCACTTTTGACTGGTCACAGGAAAGCAAGAAAACAACAGAAAAATGTGAAATCTTCACCCCACAAAAAAAAATTCTTTATTCTGCAGCAAGGTGTGCTCACACAAGTGGTAACCCAGCAACTTCAACAATGCAGGAATGGATCCAACTCCACTCACGGTGCCGACGTAACAGATGAATCCGAACATTGGGCGCAAGAGCATCACGCCAGTGGATACACGAAAGTGCAGAAGCCGCAATGTTCTTTGTCACAAGCAACGAATCGCATATGTGCTGGCTCCTCGCCACTGTGGATGGACACTTCAAGTGTTGGCAGTGAACGTGAAGCTTAGATCGTCGTGCAGCGACTACCAAGAGTGGCGATGGAAGCAACTAGCAGCTGCACACATCGATGACCCAATAAACCGATTATTGTTGTTGCATTTATTTTAAAGCTTTACAAACCGATGTATTTATTTTCTAGAATTTCTAATACTTTGAATAGTGTGGGTGGTGCTGACACCCCCTGTAAAGTTGTTTGCACTGTGTGGCCCACGTGTCTCGCCCAAAAGCCACACTTCAGGTGACAACTGCAAGACGATAGATGGCGCTGTGTACGCGTTGAGTATCACTGTTGGTATAGTGGTAGCGCCGGCGGTGACCCTTTGCGGAAGGCAGGCCTTGGTGGCGGGCGAGAGTTCAGCGAGCCTCTTCTGCGTGTGGCGGCTACCGCGAACGGTTGTCTCTAGCGTGGGTCCTTGGCGCGTGGCACCACGGGCCTGCATGCCGTGGGAAGGGGGGGGGGGGGGGGGTACCACGTGGTAAGTCAAGCGTTGGCGACGCCGCCTTGGTTGTGTTATTGTGTTTGTCATGTGTATTTGTCGTGTTATTGTGTAAGGATGTCCTAGTGTGTTAATTACAATTGATGTATCATTCGGCGAATGATATCGCGTCTAAATTAGTTAAATAAATGTGTATGTTTAGTTTGTACCGACCGTGTTTGTGTCCGTTCACTCCAAGAGCGTGGCGGAAGCCTCGCTCGCCAGTTCGAGACCCCACACTGGCTGCCCAACGTGGAGCCCTTGGAGTATCGGACAACAGTTTTTGCGGTTTGGTAAAAGCTTTTGTTAGAGCCGGTGTAGAGTAGGCCTAGGGGGACTTCTTTGCTAGCGTCGGTGGTGAGCTTTGTTGAGAGCGAGGAGATCGGTATTTGTGACGTGTTTGAATTTGTCTAAAGGTTGAGTTTTTTTTTTGCTCGCAAGTGTTGTTCTTTTTTGTTGGTGTTAGTTTTCAAAACCGTTGTTGAATTGGGACGAGAGCCATGCGGTCTGCATCCTGGGGTGAGCAAGGCCTAGAGCATGTGGTTTACAGGCCAGGACCGAAGCGAGTGAGTATGGAAGCCTCGCGGGTGGTCCGATTTTCTGTAAATAGCTTCTTCTATCTCTTTGGGCTCAGGGAGCCGGGCGTCGCTGCTGACTTGTATAGTGGCTCGACGCCGGGGCGTCGTGACACCGCCTGGGGCGGTGGACGCCGATCGCTCGGTAAGCTGCTGTGCGCGGCGAGCGATAGGGCCACTTCACCGAGTGGATGTCTCCTCGCGGCTGCCTCTTCTGCGCCTAGGCTGGGTGCTGGGTGGATGCCGGTTCTTGCCGAGCGACTCATTAGGCCTAAGGCTCTGCGCAGCCGCCTTTCGCACGTGGCACAACTAGGTGGATCGTGGCATTGAGGTGCTGCGCTCTGCTTCCCTCACTTTTTTTTTATCTTGCGATGCACCAGTTAGGAAAAGTGGTTTTTGTTTTATTTTGATAAAAAAAAAACAAAAAGGGCGCCTTGGCCGCCGCCGATGTATTAGCTAGCAGCAATGACCATCGTACCATGTGGCCGGAAAAACCCGAAGCTCCCTTCCCTAGGCCCTGCTTCATTCTTCTTTCGAGTTTTTTTTTTTTTTTTTTTTGATGTATTCAGCAGGAGGGATGCCATCCATGGCCGGCTGCCTTCTGCACATCGTCAGCGTCGCTGGCCAGAAATGCGGTCGTGAGGTCCGGCAATGGAGATGCCTGGGACCTGCGCAACTGCCTGCAGTCCGGCGCCCTCGTGAGTGCTGGTCGCAACTGGAAGACGTGTCGGCGCTAGCGACGGTTCGTCACGCGGACGACAACGTTGCTGTTGCGGGGCCGGTACTGAGGTGAAGTCGAGCCGGACAGTGCAGCAGTGTCGATTGGCGGTGGTGTCGTGGTGCAAGGACATTATGAACATGTAATGTCACTTTTTTTGTTAAATCTTGTGTAGCTAATCTCTTTGTTTACGGAATATGGTTTGATTTAAGGTTGGAGCAATGTGGGGGTGCTGACACCCCCTGTAAAGTTGTCTGCACCGTGTGGCCCACGTGTCTCGCCCAAAAACCGCATTTCGGGTTACAACTACCCGATGGTAGGTGGCGCTGATTACCACAGTCATCATAATCATGGTTGTGACAGTGGTAGCGCCGGTGGTGACCCCTGGCGGAAAGCAAGCCTTGGTGGCGGTTGCCGCAAATGGTTGTCTCTAGAGTGGGTCCTCGGCGCGTGGTACCGCGGGCCGCGCGTCGAGGCCCCTCGTGGTAAGTCAAGCATTGGCGCCGTCGCCTTTTGTGCGCCCTTGTGTTATGTTGTTTGAGTGTATGGTAATTTTGCCTAATGATGACTTAGCGTGTTGATAACGTTCGATGTACCGATTCGTTAGACGATATCGTCATTCAAAAGTGGTTAAATAAATGTATGTATGTTGTGTTTGTTTACCTGACCGCGTCTACTGTGTCCGTTCACTCCAAGAGCGTGGCGTGGCGCGTGCTTGCCATTTTGAGAGCCCACAATTGTAAAACTCCAAAGACAATCGAACAGCAAGCCCTACTTGAGAGATACTTGAAAGTTCGAACATTCGCACACCCCTACTGAATTCAATATCCTGACTAAAGTGCAACATGAATATGGCCTCGAGTATTAACGAAGCTCTACATGTGTAGATGTACGTATGTAGATGTGTTAGATATGTGCGGGGCAATAGAAATGGTAACTGAAAATTGCAGTAACAGAGAATTTCCTTAAAGGGGTACTGGCACAAAAATTTTCAGTCGCTGCTTTTTGAATCAAATGAAAGCCCAGGACTTCAAGAGCCTTGAAAATACCGTATTTTCTCGCATGATAAACGCACTTTTTTTTCTCGAAAAATCGAAGCAAATTTGGGAGGTGTGTTTATTATGCAGGGTAAATTTTATAAAAACATTTTCAGGAGAAAAAAAATGCGGTAGTGCAAAGAAAAAAGTTAGGTCGCTTAGCCTTTCGCAATTTACATACGTGTACACTGCTTGAAAACAGCTTCTTTGTTGCACTTTACTCATCTTCGGTGGTTGATGTCGCTATCTTCTGCAAGCAGTCCCTGGGCCACCCGCGCACCACGCCATAAAAAAAAACGCTTTGCGACTATCTTTTCTGGCAAGTTTTGTTCTGGCAATTGTTTAACAGCAACAGTGGTATCTGCTTGTGATGTGGAAGGATGCCAAAAAGCTTGCATTAGAGTTAATAAAAAAGAAAGTAGGCTGAAAAAGAAAGGGGGGTGGGGAGTCTCAAGAAGCGACCAAGGTTGGTTGGCGCAGGCAGTTTGGTTACCTTCGCTGGCTGTGTGCTTATCAGCTGCGATGCCTCTACACTCGCACCAGCACCCCTGGTGAACCCCGCTGTGGCGCACAGATACCGCATTTACTTGCATAATCCTCGCACTCGCATAATTCTCGCACCCCCCACATCGCCCATTAAAAATACGATTTCTTTTTTTCCTCGAGTAATTATCGCACCTCCGAAAACTGCTGCAATAACGTTGTCTGCTCTTTCCAGCCACTGATGATGATAGCGCACGCCATCTGGCGCCATCGCTTAAGCGTCAAGCATACTATTGCAAGGAGATTCAATCCAATTCAAGCCAAGCCGAAGTGGCCAGTGCGCGTTGAGGTGTGTTTTGTATGTTGCGTCGGTAACCTTGTCAAGTTATGAGGCGATACTGAAGCTGTACAGCTGCTTTCAAGCCGCAACTGATAGATCATGCACTTAAGAATGGCAACAGGGCCGCCGGTAGGCCCTTTGGAGTCTACGAGCTTTGTGTTCGCTACTGGTGATGGCTGCTGAAAGCCACACAGCACGTTGGGCCTGCCGTGTGCCTAAAACTGGGATTGATGGTAAAGTTTATTTCTTAAGAAGGAAACTGCGGACAATTCTGTTAAATAGCCATCAGCTCAATACTGACGTACCATGCTTACCTTTTGAGGGCTCTGAGCGACGAACGCTACCGCTACGCCCCCAACGTCCGCAAGCTTTGCGTATGGTATTCTAATTCTCGACTATTTGCTTCCACTTCTTGTGTCTCAAATAAATCTTGTCTTGCGTTGAACCTCTGCTTTTATTGTTGAGGTAAGTTTTAATTAGTACTTCTTGAAGCTTGCTCTTAGTTGCTGGTGTGAGAATCCCGATTTGCGGACACTTCGTTTTCTTTTTCGCTCTGTACGTTTCCGTAGAAAGTTTTCCCCGCGTGATTCTCGCACCCCCCAACTTTTCATCGGTTGTCCGGCAAAAAAAGTGCAAGGATTATGCAAGTAAATACGGTAAGACCAGCGATATGCCGCGCACAGATAGAAAGAAACGCAATAGGCACCCGACAACGGGCGAAGGGGAAGCGGGGGGGGGGGGGGGGGGGGGGGGGGGGGGTCGGCAAAGTAATAAAAAAAAACAAAAAAGCTCTAACCGGTGAGGAGGCGCCAGGAGTTGGTTAGTAGCGAATGAATGTAGGGGGTGCGTTTATTACAGGAGGAAAAAAAAATCCAAATTTTGATGACTGAAGTTGGGGGTGCGTTTATTATGTGAGTGCGTTCATG